TTTTGTACGAGTTATCCACCTCCAGAATTCAGCAAACAGCGCATTCAACTATACCATCACTAACAACGTATACTGAAGGTAATGTGCCTTCTCTGTCTATGCGCAGTCACGAATGTGATCGGCTCGCCGCCCGGATCGTTATGGGAGACGACCCCGAGTATGTACTTAATAGAAAAACGACGACGACACAAACTTTGCGCATCACGAACACGGATTACGGTATTTCAACGTCAAGGATACGCGTGTCGTTTTACTTTACCTCTGTATTTTACCTCAATTACTCGACGGCTAAAAAGCCTCCATGATTCGTTCCTAACTAGCTTGGGAAGCCAAGAAAAAGGCCTCAATCATGCAAATAATTCGGAACTTTTGGATGCCTATCTCAAGTGGAGCATCTTATCTAACTAAGCTGAATTGTAAAGAGATGTCAAGCCTGATCCTGAGTGAAAAATATTTCAGCTTCTGCCCTCTTTCACTTCAGACCTCCAGACGCCGCAGTATGACCGCTACTCAAGATCGCTATCGCAAAAAAGCGACTGTAGCAGTTCGAATGCACCCAATTCATCCAGAATCACACAATATATTCTTCTGAATGTACAGGATACTGTACTTGGGTATCTTTACATGTCCCATGAAAGCTCCCTTCCCATGTCATTGACTTAGTGCAATTAGTGATCTGAAAATGAGCCTCTTTCCACCGCTTCGAAGTGGTTTTTTTCATCAGAGGTAGGCTTAGTAGTTTCGCGGTCGCCACCGGTATTCCATTTGGTTGTTAGAAGTTTAGCTGATACCTCCAGCATAGTATCGCCCGCATACAAACGCCACCTTCAGCATAACCATTCCCGAAACATGGACTATTTCTTGAAAATCCAGTCGCTAACCTTTTCAAGCCCATTAAATACCCACGAAACCGCTCCAACTTGTTCCTCCCCTAAAGCATATTACAAAGAAGCAAAAAACCATAAAAATGTAAACAAATAAATAAACAAACAAAGACCCTTTATGCTGATACACCGAGAATTTCCTAATACTACAACTAAGAGGTGCCCTCGATCTTTTCAGGGAACTCTCGTATTCCAGTGAAACATCCGGTCGCATTCGTTATCATCTCGTTCTCCCCCTACCATAGTTAGTTATTCAACGGATGTTTCGTATCGAAGAGCCTCTCCGAAGTCACCATCCCAACCCTGCTGTACAGTTTGGGTAATATTCAAATTTATTCAGAAATTTCCTGGGTGACTAGATGGGCACTGCGGCCGATCGTGACTGCGTCGAGGACGAACGATCATTTTATGGTTCGTGGGAGTCTAGTCTGCCTGCCCTCATTGCTCCCACCATGGACAGGCTCTAAATGCTAAACGTACAATGACAACATCTGTACGACTTCCTGGGAAAATCAAATACTGACCAGTCACTGGCCGATAGAGGTCGCGTGGGGAAGTTTGAAGACATCGGAGTGAGAAGATTAGTAGCTCCTTCGATTACTATGATGCTCAAGAGGATTAGATGAAAAGATGTTATGCTCACTTGGCTTGTCGCCTGACCAAACTCTTTTGTTTTAGTTCATGTCCCATAGCCATTCCACAAGTCTCAGTGAAAGACCTTGAAATAAGCAAACGTTTTCCTAATGGTATGCTACAATTCAGCTCCGAACCTGCTGACTTATGACTTCTACTACCTTGAAATTCCCTCAGAAGGATTTCGATTTGAAAGAAGTTTTGAATCTCGATACGAACAACCAACTCACTTACTCCTCGAACAACCTGGGCTCCCCGATGGTACTTTGATGGGTCAACGCTAACACAGTTTTAACACATACTGTAGGACAATCAAGGCCCAATCCTTTATAATAAGGTACACAGAGTGGGCATTCGACATTGCAAAAACCCAGTAAAGCCGCATCTATAAATTCTGTACTTAGTTACCGCTTCGAATGGACGATGAATGTAGCCGAGCTCATTTTAAGCATAGACTGTAGTTCCGGTTTGTAGAGAAAGAGCTTTGCTGGTACCTCGACATCAGTTGTATCAGAGTACTGAGCGCTTTACCTCTATATACCAGCTTTGCGACTTCCCATTATGAAGTTTTTTGTTAGGAATTACATGTAGACCTTTCAGATGACATTGCGACAAGCTTTGCATAACTCTGAAGACTTGTAAACAATTTGGGAAACTAGTAAACAAAGAAGGGTCCCGGAGCCAAGACTACAAGTTAGCTACGAAGAAGTTTCCAAACGTAACCATCTCCTAGTCGGAATTAGGCGAGTTCAAGTTTACTGTAGCCTGGCGCGCGCCAATGAGCTAATTATTTGGATGATTTTTATAGGCGTATCGTATCGGCGTAGATGCGGCCGTCGCGACGGCGGGGATGGGTCGATTTCACGCCTCGATGTCTCGCTCCGTATGTTCAGAAGGGTTTCGGAAACGTCGCTGTCTGGCTGCTGCTGGCTGCTACTGCTACTACTGCTGGACTTCCGGTTACGCGCATCATAAAGCACATGCGGAGGAGAGCGAGCGCCCGAGCGACCAACACAGTGTTCACAACGACTAGGCAGGCTGACTGGGTTGCTGTGAACCGGACGGGCACACACTTGGCTACGCTTCCTAAACATCATCAATGAGCCA